AAGTTTTATTATCACGCTAGTTTCCAGAGAGATGTTTGGAGCCATTCCCAGCACTGGGTTTAGCTGCAGCAGCAGCTTGAGCTCCTTTCTGGTGTTCTGGTGAAGGGTAGGGCAGCTGATGGCTCTCCTAAGGTGTGCCAAGAGATCATGTTTAAATAAACAAAGCTGTTCCCATGGTCTGTTTGCTGTATCAAGTCCGGGTTTACCTGTATTCCAAAGACAGAGCCTGTCCAAATTTGAGAAATACCTGAGGCTGGAGGGATGCAGTTTGCAGTCAGGTCTCCTGCATGAAGATACAGCAGTGGGGAAACCAAGTGCCTTTGAAATTTGGCATGCTTGAGCCCTATGGTCATCATGGTCATCAATTGTGACCATGATTTAGAAGAGTATTTTTGGCTTACTCACCCTTACTTTAAACATTTTGGTTAAACTTTCTGACCTGCAGCTGCCCACAGTGGCAACACCTAACTGAGGCACTTTTACAGCACAGTGTGGTGTACCTTATTTTATTGAGCATTGCCCAAATAGTTGAGAAGAATGTCTTTTTAAAGAGTCTTGTGATAGTCCAGATTTAGCTGCTGATATTTCCCAAGAGCATCAGGGCTGTCTGCAGGATGACTTTAAGGTTTCAGCAGTTCTGCTTCAGCTAGAACCAGGTAAGCAGTAGTCTCATGGTCCTCTTTGTACATCTCTTCCAAACATGTCTTTCTTGGTATGTTTGGCGATCTAATCGGATACATTCATTTCATGTTAAGATGGCATGATAAATGGTACATTTGCCAGTTTCATTTCCATGGCCTTGGTTAGGATGGTTTTTGCTGTATGCATTCAGTCATCCCTGCTGCTGACTGTAAGGGGTTGGAGGGATGTGTCTTGTGGGGGATTATATACAATCATCATGTCCTTTTTTATACATCTTAACACTTGACCTCCTTACTTTATCCCATAAAGGAGTCTCTTGAACATTGACTAATCCCACTGGGATTTATGAAGTGTGCCTGAAAGCCAAGTCCTCCCTGGGTGGGTGCAAAATGCATCAAGGAGTTTGAATATTTGTGTCCTGTCTTGCCTGAATTAATCTAAGTCGAGGCAGCTGGGTGACTGGGTAGTGCAGTGTAATACCATCATTATTAAATTAATGCCAGATAGGGCATTATGTTTTATGACCATTAACAATATTTGTATGCAAACTACGAGGCTGGCCAGAGAGATGCAGAATGGGGCATCACTGCTAAGTGGAGACTCTTTAGTGTGTGCATTTAGTAGGTTCAGACTACAGAATTGATGACTCAATACAGAGTTGAAAACCTTGCTGCTACTGCTTTTCTCTGCTTCTTCAGAAATATTTAGTATTCTAGTTGGTTTTAGATTTTTGTTGTTGAACTGATGTTTGTGCTGCAGCAACAGGAGAATTTTCTCTTTAGGCCCTTCAGTATATTTGACAAAGATACATTTCTTTGAGAGCCACAGGGAGAGCACAGTCAAAGATTGTGGAGTAGAGTACATGGCCAGAAACAACTATCTGGAAATTAACATTTCTGGCTAAAATATCAGTGCTCTTGTCTGCTGTGGAGAGGGCCAAAATGCTATAAATCGCTTAGTTTGGTTTGATGCTAGAACCAGTAGATTACCCATTCCCAGTAATTGCAGTGTCCTTCCCATTTGGAGGGTTCTTCAGAATTTTTTGCTAGAATTTGATTCGTGCTTTGCAGAGGTAGGAGCAAATTTTAAATATTTTGAAATCTTTTGAAAATAATAGCAATCTCATCACAACAAATAGCACAATAGTGATGTATACACCGTGGTTCAAGTATTGCTTAATAATCTTTACCCACTGTATGTGGTGCCTTGGGCCTGTCAGCGTGAATTTCAGTGGAATTCTAATTGCTTTTCCAAACATAAAAATAGTCCTTTTCCCCAAAGTAAGGTCTGTGTTTGCTGCCTCATATGTCTATATAGACAGACATATGCATAGGTAGACTTGGTAGCAATAGTCATGTCTTGGGTGGTTTCATGCTGTATTAATGAGGAGTGTGTTGTCAGCAAGTTTTCCAGTATTTGTTAAAGGTTTGCACGGGTAATAAAGTCTTGTTGGGAAAATTGATCTAATTTTGAGATTGAGAGGTGTGAGAATAAAAGATGCTTTACTGTAAATTGTAGGTAGGTAACAACAGAAACTCGAATATTAGAAGAAACTGAGTATCGCACAAACCACACACTTTCACATCACTAAAACAAGAGCTGTGCTCACACAGAAACATGAACCTCTTTGCAAACCGCAGAAAGTAAAAGGGAGCTCTCCTGTTTCATTATTGATCTAATTGCTCTTTTCTTGATATGAGAAATGATATGAAATGCTCTTGAATATTCCAGTATGCACAGAAACAGACCATTACTTTTGGAAACTTTTAAAGGCATAGCACATAGTGGTAAATAGCAAGGTCATTTATTTCTGAGAGTCACAACTGCCTGCCTAATGTCACTTAATTGTTCTACTGGAACTGAATATGTTATAGCTTTGATGAGAACTTTCCACTTGGGAGTGATATTAAATGGAGGGAGCCCAGCCCATATTTTCACATGATTAAATCAGTTTTGGGAGATCTGTTGGTGCAATCCTTTTAAGTAAGTCCTGTTTTTAGAAAAGGTCTTCTTTTTGGAGTACCTCAGTGTTGGAGTGCTTTAAAGCTCCCTTCAAACCCAAATTACTCTGCAGTTCTTTGTGGTTGTTGCCTTTATCTACAATCTCTTTCCCTTGGTTTACAATCCCATTTAAGACCAAGTTTCCTGAGTAACCTGAAAGTTTGGGCCTGTGGGACTTGTGCAAAATGTGTGTGGTTAAAACCTCGCCGTGTTTGCGTGTGAGAGCAAACATGCATAGGAATGAGGTTCCTGGACTGATCCAGTGAAATCTGGGCGTGTTTCAGAGCTGTGAGAGTCTGAGCCCTGCTGTTCTGGGGGAGCTGTGAAGGTGAGCCTCAGTCTGTGCTCACCTCCGTGTTTTACAACACTCCTCCATTTATGATCTCCACCACCAGCTCTGCTGCTCTGCCTGCTCCTGCCAGCAGCCTCACCTCCCACTCCTCTGCCAGGCTGAGCAGATTCTGGAGCCTGCTGGCTGCAGGCAGTGCCAGCTCCCTGGCAGAGCCTTCTCGAGCCTGTGGCAGGGCTGACACCGGGGATCTGTGGTTCTCCTGGGATTATGGAAGTGGCTTTCTCCAGAGGCACTGGATACCTTTTCCTTCCCTTGTTTCAGTAGCTTCTCTCTCACTCAGTTTCTACAACTTAAAAGCACCTGTATCACCAAGTTTGGGACTCTCATAGAATGGTTTGGGTTCGAAGGAACCTTGAAGATCATCTTGCAACCTTTCCCTGGGCAGGGATACTTTCCACTAGACCAGATTGTTCAAAGCCCCATCCAACCTGGACCCTCAACTACAACTTCAGAGTGGCTTTTTTTTTCTAGTGGGTAGTTCATCTGAAATACCCAATGGTGAGAAAGAAGCACCTTTAACAGAAGATTTTTGAAGCAGTTTAGTTCATTTTGAGAACTACTTTTCACTTCCTAAAATCTCCAGCACTTCAAAATGGTCTTGAGATTTGCAGAAGAGATCACTTCCAGCAGTAGCTAATAATAAAAGGTGGAGAGGAAGAGTGACTTCTCTTAATAGCTTGTTCTTAAGACATATCAATGATTGTTTGATGAATCAATGATTAATTTTTTTTACCTGAATCTCCTGTCAATTCCCTTTACCTGTGTGGCATGTTAAGCTCATTGTAATTTTCCTTTCTTGTTTACTGATTTGTTGATTTTTTTTTCTTTTTTCCCCTCCCCAACAAAACCAAAATTAATTAGGTCTGCTTAAATCAAGGTGAGGACAGGTTTCCCAGTTGGCAAGAATATGATTGCATGATTGGAGAGATGTCACTGCTACACAGAGAAATGGCTTGGTCGTAGTTTTTCAAATTGGTGTTCAAATCCATGTTCATTCTAAGGGCATTTTCCCTTGAATTGTCGTGCAGTCCCAAGGTACTGAAGACAAACTCAAACAAGCCTATCCAAAAGTCAGCCTCTCAGAAGTCTTAGGAACTATCTGGCTTTGGGTCTCTGCTCCTGAGCCAGTAGAAGAGGAAGCTGGCTTTTGGTTTAGGCAGATCAGGCCAAAACCAGATTTGTTTGCATTTGTACACCAAGTTTTGTTTTGTTTTCTTTCTGGAATAGCAGCTGTATATATAATGTAATGTGGGAAAAGATTAAGTAAATTCCTTTCAGAAAAGCTTTAACAGACATTTGGCAAAAAAGTATGAAAAAGATGATTTTTTTCATTGTTTCCTCAGAGCTCAGCAAACCATTCTTTTGAGTCAAGGTGAATTGCTGATGTGTTTGCAGGACTAAATAGCTGTTTCTAAGATGAAGATAAGTAGTCTGCAAGCTTCCAGATGCTGCCAAGAGGAGAGGTAAACATTTAGCTTTGGAAATGTGCAGATCACTTGCTCAGGTCCCCTGCCCTTGAAGGACTTCTGTTCTTGTTTGTTGCTGTTTCAGCAGCACAGAAGGGCTCAGTTTGGGGCAGTTCTCTGTTGGCCAGCTCTGTGACAGCAGGCCATGTCAGTGAGGAGAGCCACAGTGACAGTGGTGGGTGGGAAGAGCCAAGGGGCAAAGGAGAGAGGTTAAAATGGTGTTTCTGTAAATGTTTCAGTGCAGCTGAAGTGCAAGGCTGATGTTCATTAGCAGTGGTGAATGGTAGTGCTGTGCTTGCTTCCAGCTTGTTCCTGAGAGTGTTGACTATCTCTGTGCCTGCTGCAGGGGAGCTGGGGAGAGGAGAAGCATTTTACCCTAAACTCCATCTGGAGAGAGTGGCTGAACCAGGGGGAGGAAATCCTGACCCTTCAGCTTTATGGGATGATAAGAAATTAATTCGTAATCCCCAGGCAGGTTCAGAAATTTTAATCCTCTACCTAGCTGCTGTTTTCTTCCTCTGGAGTCAGAAGCTGGAGGATACCAGCATGCATGATTTGGATTTCCATCTTTATACATCCAGTCACTTAAATTTTACGTACAACATCTTGTGCATGTTCAGGTGCTTGCTCCACATGGCATCACTTTGAATTGTAAAAATCAAAATTAAACCCAACTTCCAGTTTCCAGAAGAATGGTGCAGTTCATGCTATCCTGACCTCTCTCACGGTTCCTGCTTGATGATGTTCTTCCCTCCATCACAAACTGAAGCATGGTGCTGAATACCCATCCAGAGGTAGCCGTGTTTCAGAGGCAGATGAAATTATTCCTGGCTCTGAGTTTGTAAAGCATTTTGGGATCCTCTAGAATGGAAAGTGTTGTTGTTTGTTTGTCTGAGGCAGTATTTTCACCACTTTTTCTTTCAATTGCTCCTGTTATACGTGTTGGTTTTCATTATATCTTCAGATAAGGCTCATATGAAATGGGCTTCTGTTTTGTTTTCTCACCAGAGGAGTGATTCATATTCAAATTGAAACGCTGTATTGCTCTAAGCCAACATTCTCCCCATGCTCTAATGGGAGGAGAGGGAAAGACAGGCGTGGACCAAGCAGGATTATTTTTCTCCTACTGCATTTAGAAACTTTCCAAATGGCTTTTCAGGAAGACACGTGGACTTGCCTGGCATGGGAGAATCCCAGTCTTGTGTATTTTAAGAATATCAGATGAGCTGGAATCTCCTCAGTTGTCTCTTTAGGATGCAGACCCGTATGCTTCTAGCATTGTTCTCTAAAAACAAAAAAAAAAATTTATGATCCCTTTTAAGTTGAAGAATTTTTTTTTTTGTGGTCCTGTATTTTCTCTTTATTTGTAACACTAGTTTTAAGAAAATTACTGGCACTGGTTTTGGAGCAAGTAGTCCACAGACACCTTCTGCATCATGGCCAAAGCCATCAGCTCATGGTCTCTGCTCCTGCCTGGTGCTTTCTCCAAGGGAGCTGGCTGCCATCCACAGGAGAGGAAAACTGCACAGTGTAGCAGGTGTTTCTGTTCTGGTTAGAACTGGATAGCCCGGTGCAAACTTCCTCAAGAAGCTTTACCACAGAGAGAAGAGATGCTGAGATTCCAGCTGGGGTCTTTTGTGTATTCAGGGTTGTGTTGCTCTGTCACCTGCAGCTCAAAGTGAATGTCATTGTAGATCTTGTGGAGCCTGGTGCCTCTCCAATAAGCATCAAACTGAGATAATAGTGTATTTAATGGATAAAATACAGGTGAATATTCTCACCTTAGTTAAAGTCACCTAACTGAGCCTACTCAAGGGGATATTTACCATGTCTTAAACTTAAAACACAGCTCAGTCTGTTTCTTTTCTTGGTCCTTCCAAGCTGGGCTTGGATAGGTGAAATGATCCTTCCCCATTCACCCTTTTCATTTTCACAGAGTTTGTGAAACTATTGTTGCTGAGGTGCTCTCAGGTTTTGAGATAAATGAGGAGACATTGACACTTTTAAAGTAGCACCTGAGGAGCTGCTGAGCCTTGGAGGATCTGCTGCCTTGAATGGAATACTGGTGACTGTGTCCTCTGTGCTGCTGTGACAGTTCAGTTACACCAACAGACTGAGGGCATTGCGAGGATCAAAAATGTTCTGCTCTTTTGTTGGCATAAAATAAAAAATTATGAGAGTTTTTCCAAGGAGGAAAAAAGAGAAGAGACTATGACAGATCTTCATAGCTGATGGTAGGTTCATTCACCACAAGAGAGCTGGTTAGACAAATGTGAGACCTTGGCTACACGTCACCTAAATACTTTCTGACTTCAGAGCATTTCATCTGGAATCACTTGCAATTAGCATGGGCTTGGCAGAAACTGGCACTGCTGCTGTTTGTGCAGAAACTGCTTGCACAGTCCAGTTGTGCCAGGGAGAAAACTGCTGTAAGCAATTAGCACAGGGGTAGTCTTGAGGTGGTGTGTGTGCTGTGGCTGCTCTTAGAGCAGCTGATGTCCTTGATGGCACAGCAGCAACTCTACAACCAACAGCACAGCTGTCTGTCACCCAAACATTATGTTCTTTAACCTATTTGTCATCATAGGCACACATTTTTTAGGCAGCTGTTGGTGTCTGGGAGCTTTTAACAGCATTGCTTGTGAGAACCTAGGCATGCACATGGTCCAGGGAGATGAAACCAAGGCTCTGCTTTTCACAGTTGGCTTGGATGAGGCAGTTTCCTCAGCTGGCTGTGGTCAGGCTGAGGTGGAGGACAACCTATTGTAGGCTGAAATGATCCAGCTGGGAACAATTGCCCAACTGACAAAATAAATTATATCTAAGTCTGTTAAATTAAGTAAATAATGAAGACCACAGAGCACCTGCTGATCCCCATAACCTGTGTTGCTGGAGGTTGGGCAAAGCGTCTCCTGTTTGCCTGATGGAGCCTAGGAGCTTGTGAGTGGGTGGCATGGGAAACTGGGGACAACTGAGGATTTGCACAGGGATGCAGAGTTGCTCCTTGGGGCAGAGCAAGATCTGTGTGATTCTTGGCCCTTGAATGAAGAAAGCAAGATGCTGTGGACTTGTTGCAACCTGTGCAGTCTGCGAATGTTTTCTTCTTGTCAGATGCTGCTGTCGCATAAGTTATTTTATTGCCAAAGGGCAGGGAATGAATTAGCGAAGTGGGAGAGAGGGCTGCGTGTTGTAGAAATCAGTGCACCAAATGTGCAATTCTTTACTTTCTGCTTTTGCAGTGTTTATTTGCCTATAGGATTTGGGGTGGCAGAAGGGTTGGTGGTGTAGGACGTACATCTGTCTCATCCAGGAGAAAGTGCGTGTTCAGATGAGAAAGCATTATGCATACAATGCCTGAAATCAGCCCTTAAAATAGCACACTCCACATCTTAGTAATGTATTGAATATATCTGGATAAGAAACAGTCTGATTGAAGTATTGAGCTTATTGTAGTGTGTCTGCTGTGACTCATCAGGAAATTGAAAGTCTTGGGACAAAACTCACCCCCCCTTTTTGGGAGAGACGGGAATTAGTCTTAGATGGGAGGTAATTAATTGTTCTGTGACTGCTGTAAATAGGTACTGAACAACAAGCTCATACTGAAATATTTATATCCTAAGCCCTGTCTTGTGAGCCAGCTATCCAGAGTCTCCATCAGATAGAGACAGTGAAAAAGAAAGTTCTTTGGAATGAGCAGCACTTCCACCTACATGCGTTTAAGCGAGACTGGTTGGAGGTGAGCTGGTAGGCTGCATGCTGTAATAAGCCATTTACTAGGATAATGGCTGATGGCTGTAGGCTACAAATGCTGTTTCTACTTAGTCTGTCTATTCAATGCAAACATTAAAAAAGAAAAAGCTCTCTCCCTCAGTAAAGTCTATAATACTCTTAATACCCAGCGTACTCCATGAATATTAACTCAGCCAATGTCGTAACACCCTATGGAGGCAGGTGATGCATGTGCAGCCTTTTTCATCCACCAGAGAAACTGAGGCAGTGGGAAGGACTTTGGGCTTCTGACTGTGGCCTGAGGCAATAGCCTGGTTTGATGGTGAGTAGGTACCTGCTGGCTGGCCCTTGGTGGGAGCATGGAACTTACAATTTTCAGGGTCTAATCCCATAAATTTAGGGTTTCATTTGGAGAGATTTGCTGCCTGCTGTTGCAAGCAGTGCTGCCCTGCTTGTGGAGTCACAGAGGGTGTATTGGCAGAGCTGGCAGAAGTGGATTGTGAGGGGATGAGTATGTGCAGGAATATCTCTGTAATTTACTGAGTAGCTCTAGCCATTATGTATCTGTCTGACTGCAGGATATTGCTGGGAATCCAGATGTTGAGAAAAGAAACAAGAAAATCAAGATGATCAAATACCTGTTTAAAAAAAAACAGCGCCCAAGGAAAAGGAGCTTGATGGCTTTGTGTTTGTCTGCAGTGAAGTCATGGCAACAGAGAACTCATTTAGCAAAATTAACTGTTTCTCTATCTTACCAAAAAAAAAATCAAATGAAAATGATGCAAGGGAACATCCTTTTATCTAAACCAAATGAGTCCATTTGTGCCAAAGCAACGGAGTCATCCTGGGGAGTTTGCTCCAGAGAGCACATATTTTATTGGTACAGAATGTAACAGTTGTCCCAAAGCCATAACTGTAAAAGCATTGTGCCTTAGGCAAGCACTTTCAGTAACAGGAAAACCAAACTTAGGTTCCTGCACCTGCATGGTGTTGAAATAGAAGCATGATTTTAAGCTTTTGGTTGTTTGAGTTTTCAGCTCAGTTAAGATCTGGATGCAGCTTTCAGGGCTGTAATCTCTTTGAAGTTACCCTTTGGGTAATGTTTAGTTTTTAAATTCTCTAGGGACAAAATGCTGATGCTGCTTTGGCTTGGGTGCAGCCAAATACTTGTAAAAAACCAGTTGCTTCTAGGTCCTTTTGACTTTCATTAGACCATAGGCTTCTTTGTGCTCAAGACTCGTTTTAATCTCTTAATTTAAGTACTATTTGAAATAATTCTCACACAAGCCCCAGAGGTGACTCTTCTGTGCTACTTCTGTTTTGACATTCACTGCCCATCTCCAGGCACATACCAATGTGTGAAGCAGCACAAGAGGTGAACCACACTGTGACTGTATTGGTAGGCACGAAAGTTCATTTTATATCACTAAGAATCTCATATTTGGAATTCAGAAATTGTTCATCTTGGTAATGAGCAGGGCAAGCTCCAGGGGAAATATCACGAACTCAGATGTGTTGCTTGAGGCGCCTGGAAAGTGGCGTTTCTCTTAAGCACTGTTTTCCAACCAGATTTTACTTTGTGGCTCTCTTGAAGATGGTTTTAGGCAACACCTTATGGTTTCCCTGAAAGTGTCTGACAGCAGAGATGCAGAGTTTTTATCTGTGTGAAGGAGTGCAACAGTTTGGGGGAGATTTTAAGGATGATTCAACTTTGAGATGGTTTCTGTCAAAAATGTTGGGTAAGCTTCAGACTAACTGGAAACCTCCCTTTTCATTGAAATCACAGAATCATAGAATATTTTGATTTGGAAGGGACCCACAAGGCTCATTGAGTCCAAATCTTAAGTCAGTGCTCACCAGGTGAATGCAAATTGTTTTCCACTGGTTCTCACACCTGGATGACACTGATACCTTTCTTCTGCAACTTTAACTTTGGTTTAACGAAAGAAAAGTGAACACTGAGTGTAGGGAAGGTGTTCTTAGGAGTGAAGGAAAGCCACAATTGTTGTATATCCAGGTAGATAACTCAGCTGTTATTCTGGAGTTGATCCATGTCAAAAGGGTCCTTTTTGGAAAGCATCCCTTTGAGGAGGCACCTCATGTGAATAGCAGAGCCTTCACACTGCTGAATCACGCTTATCGGATGGGTTGCACAGGCTGGCTGGGGGTTGTTGACACTTCCCAGCTCTGCCTCAGGCTGGTGGCTTTGCAGTAGTGGCCTGTTTCTTTCCACTTGCTTTCCCATCCTCAGGCCTGGACATAGCCCTTGGTTTAGCTGTTAACAGTGTGGGAGCAGAAGGTCCAGGCTGAAGCAGCCCCCTGGCACAGCCATTCCTGTGGGCTTGGGTATTGCCATCGGGAGAGAGGAGAGCAAGGGCGTGAGGGTGGGAGTGCAAAGCCCAGGGGCTTGCACATCAGATGTTGTCAGAGGCTTTTAAAGAAAAATAACTCACATCCCAGGGTTTCTTCAGTGAGGGATGAGTCCCCAAACCAGAATGTTCACACGTGAGGCAGCCCCAGCCCTATGGGCTGTCCCAACACGCTTGGGGAGGATAAGCACAGCGGAAAAGCCTGAGGAACTGCTGCCAAACGACTGGGAAGATGCAGCCCACGGTGTCTGTTGTGTCTGAGATCTCTGTAAAGTCTCTCACATCTTTCCTCAAGTTTAGTTTTCCAGTGGAGGCTGTTGCAGTAATGAGAATGTCTCCCATCTGCTCCTCACATGGCTTGGCACATTTAGCCAGAATATATATATTTTTATTATGGGGTTAGCCAGTGGTAACCATGACAATTAGACTTATCACGCAGCAGTTTTTTTCCCTCCTTGAGTCAGTTTGAAATGCTGACAATTAAATGGATACAGTACACTTTAGAGATCCATCAGTCTCTTTGTTGTCTTGACAACCAGAGTATATTTAGAAATGTAACAAGTACATGGAGTTCAATTGCACTTTTGCTAAAACATAGTTTTGTAGCTTGAGAATTTAATCTGTTGTTTGTAGATCCAGGTGCTTATTTGAGCTATGCCTGACTTTCTCTTTGGTCTCTCTGGGAAGCTCCAGTGTTGGCTGGTGGAAAGAAGGTCCTTGTCAAGCAGGGAGCAACCCTGCCCACTGTGTGTGGTGGGGGCTTGGGTGAGGGACTGGCAGCCCCTTCCTGCTTGGGTGCTGGATGTGCTCCTGTGTGCTTGTGGCCATTGATTTGCAGTGCAAGAGGAACGTGTGTGGTTGTTGTCCCAGATGTTTGTCCCTGCAGATCCAGCTCAGCAAACAGGGCTGGGGAGCCATGAGCAGAGTGTCCAAACACCCTCTCCCAGATGAACTGCTGTCAGGGTTCAGTGGCACTTTGGTACAGGAGGACAGTGCCATGTTGCATGACACTGGCAGACTGTAGTGGCTCTCCTCCTGCCCCTGAGCTACCCAAGCTTTGGTTGCAACTGGAAACAACTCTCGGCCATGGAAGCAATAGCAGGGACTGTCTCTCCAGATAATTTCTTCTGTTTTGTCTTTGGTTTGATGGGGGTGTGTTTCTTTGATTTTAACAGAATACTACTACTAAATTTTTTTTTTATTCCTTCCAATTTGACTGGCAAAATTGAGCTCATCCTCTCCCCGCTGAGCTGGAATAGCAGTGTGTGGGCTAGCTGTCTGGAGCTATGGATTTTTAAGGCTCCATCCAGGGCTGGAAGAGAAGGAGGGAATTACGATGGAGTGCACTCTGTGGAGCTCTAAATAAGCCTGTCTCCCAGCACCCTTGTGCACACACTGGTGGTGGGTGTGTGTGGAGTTTCTGTGTTCTCCCTGCCCTTTCCCTTTTGAGCCGGGAGAGAGCTGCGGTCGGTGCAGGCACCTGTGTGGGTGTGACAGCCAGACAGCAAGTGTGGTGGTGAGCCAGCCCAGAAGAGCAGCTGGCATGTGTGGCCCTCATGTGCTGCCACCCTGGAGCCCAAGGGCTGTGAGATAGGGGCTGGCACCACAGTGCACTTGTTACACTCCCAGCACAGGACCTGGCAGTGCCACTGCCTTGCCTGACTTGCTGCCTTCAGATCCGTGTCCAGACATTTGTGGAGCAGAATACTTCCCTGGCTTGAGTGATAAATGTATAAAATGAAAGTCAGATGAGGAAATAGCTCAAACGATCCCTGCTGCCCCTCCACTTGGCTGACCCAGAGTTGTCCTGGTCAGGGCTGTCCCTTCAGGAGGCTCGCAGGTGGAGGAGCTGTTAAAAGGGACTTTGTGGTGAGGTGTTGATGGCCTTTCATGGTTGGCACCTGAATCCCATGGCAGGGCCTGGGATGTTCATGTATTTTCTGTAAAATGTGAAGCAAGACTCCTCCATTTCTCCCTGTCTTAGGCTTGGCTGTTAATTGATTCTTGGCAATATAATTCAGTCAGGAGAAGTGAAAAAACACATACAAAACCAAATTCTCCTTTATCAGCAAAGCTGTGGCAAAGCAGCAATCTGAACAGGAGATTGGTTACAGCAGTCAAAGGCCTTTTGCTGGAGGGAACCAGTTCATGTGGTGAGATGGTTTAAAGAAGACAGTGATGTGTCTGTGGCATGGGTGTAGTGGTGTTCATCCCTGGGCAGAGATCTGTACAACTAGTCAGCACAGATTTGCCACTGGGATGGTTTATTACAAGGAGGTGAGGAAAGCTCCAGGGAGTGGAGTCCACCCTGAGGTCAGCTATTAGGGACAGTGACAGCCAGTAAAATATATCTGTATTTTCATGGCTGCATAACATCTTGTCTATGCACTATACCCAGAATATTAATAAGGCTCAAAAGGAAGACAGAATTGAATGATTTTGGTTCCTTCTTCCCTGTGTTTCTTTTTCATTCATTACCTGTCAAATAATGTGGTTGATTTCTCTCATTAGTGTGTATGCACAGCTCAGTCTAGTGTTCGTATTTTCTTTCTTCCCTCCATTTTACCAATTTCACAATGAAAATCCTGAACCATAGTTATATTTCCACTCCAGCTCTGTTTGTGGACTGTTAACATGCCTTGTTCCAGTGTTTAATAGCTGCTGGGGTTTATTCTTAAAATATAACCACCAAAACCCAACAGTCCTAATGACTATTCAAGACTGCTTTAAACAAGTTATCCCAATCCATCTGACAAGGATAATGGTCTTCTATTAGAAGATACTTAGCTGGAGGTTGGATGAGCTGTAATGTTTATGGGCGTGCAGATCTGTAACCAGACAGACTCAGAATAACTTCTTGGATTTCAGTGGAGCTGTATTTGTTTATTACAACTGAGGCTTAGGCAGTGCTTTAGATGCAAATTGCAACCTCTGTGAAGTTAAGTGGGGTTTTGATTTAATTTCTGGAAGCAGTAATGTCAGCAGGGAAGGGAAGAGCTGGGACCCACATAGCCTGAAGTCTGTAACTCTGGGTGCTCCCTTTCCCTTACTGTCAAGATCAGATTCCCTTGGTTTAGGCTACTAATTAAAATGCAGCTTCTCTTAAGCATCTCCTAAAGGCAGGCAAGAGAGAGTGGAAGTGCAGCCTATGCAGATTATGTATCTCTCGCCACACTCTGCAGAAAATGCCAGTGCTTGGGTTGTTCTCTCTGCCTTGTGGTTGGGCTGTTGACCTGGAGTTTGTGCTCTCAGCTCCAAAAGTGCAGAGTCTCTATGCTGAGTTGTCTGGCTCTGATGTAGAGAGAGCTGTGATCTCCTTTCCCCCAACTTTTCTGTGTCCATGCAGCAGTCAGCAGACATGGACCACTGCTCATCACCCCCACTGTGTGTGGCATAAGTGATTCACCATGCATTCATTTCTGGTCACATAAGGGACATCAATTTAAAGCAGGCTTGAGACATAGGTTAGTGTTAGCTATTTGATGTCTGAATTCTAAAAGCAACATCAAACAGGGAGCAGAAAATGTATCATGCACAGAAAAATCTCTGGGATTTGCTTCTCCCTTTAAAAAATAATAGTAATAAATTCCAAACTGTTTGCATATGCTGTCTCCTCTGTGGTCAGGACACCTGTCTGCCTCTTTGCTGATACTTGATACAGGCTTACAGTGCTTGCAAAAATGTTAACGTGAATTTTTTGTCATGGCAAATATGAAAAGAATATCCAGTGTCTGTGTGGGCAGGTTCTCAGCAAATTTTTCTCTGCTTTTTGCGCTTCGGTGTGGATCTGAAGCAACTGCTGAAATTCTGCTGCCTTTCCTTCAGCAAAGCTGCTGCCCTGTCAGACCTGGTTCTCCTGAGCAAGACAGCTGATGGTGGGGCTAATGAGTTTTAGCCTGGCTTCATAAAAAAAAAATATATTCAACTGGCTAGAAGTGTCTCTCTTTCTCTTTAATGGCTTTTGATTCTTGGTTGATCTCAGGAAAGTAGGGGTGAGGATGCAGTTAGGAGGAGCTGGGGGTCACCTGGTGACACCAGGAGCATGGTGGGCTGGGAGACCAGGGGTGTGCCAAGATGGATCTTTCACTAATCATCACTGGTACTTTTTAAACGTGCTCATTTCTCCTCCAGGACTGAGATTAAAGGAAATAGAAAACATCAGAGTAAACTCAGATATCAATAAGCTGGAAGTATTAAAGACTGCTGGTTGAAAAAAGCTTGTGGTAACTTAAAAAAAACTGCGTTTTCTCTTTAATTGTGTATGTTTAGAGGCACTCAGAGAGGAAACCAGGGCTGGAGGTGGAAGTAGGGTTTGGGCTGTCCCACCCAGGCTCTTTTTCTACAGTGGCTGTGTGTCCCATCTCTGCTTTGGTGCTCCTTGATGCTCGCATGGCAAAGGCAGTGCTGTGGGAGTGACTCATGCTTGGCCTTGAGTGGTGGCTGAGGTTTGGGAAGAAGAGGCTCTTTAAGCATGAGAGGCAGAAGGGCGTCTGGTCAGGCTTTGAAAGAGACTTTGTTACCTGCAGCCCTTACGTCAGTGCCTTTCACCAGCTCTGCAGTGATTTAAAACAAGTAGCTTCTCTTCCAAATAAACCTCAGCTACTCCAACACTTGCTCAGATGTAATCTGTGCTGCCAATGTGTGAAAAACCCCTACATGGGTCAAAACAGGGACAGACTGACACATGAGTTGTGTCAGAGGGGAGGAAAAACGGCTGTGGTCTGCTCTGTACAGGAGGGCACTGGCCTTACTTGCCCTTTTGGGGCTGTTTTCTTGGCGAGGCGTTACAGCCAGCTTGATTTACTTTCTGCTTTTACGATGAGCAAAACATTGATTCTGACCTTTCTGTTTGCACCCACAGAGGTCCCTTGGAAGAGCCTGTCTGTACGTCTGACTGGGCTGCCTTGCTTCCAGGTGAGGAATGGATCAACTCCCAGGGCTTTTCACAACTGCTGAGTTTAGGGACAGTGGGAAGACCTCGATACCATGTTTGGTCCTTCAGCAACTGATGGGCATTTCACCAAAGCCTGGGGTGCTGGGATGCCAGCCTGCCCAGGAGGCTAGAGGTGGTTTTATTGTTTCTGGGTCCGAGTTTGGAATTAGCAAACATGCAGGCCCTCCTGCAGACTGGGAGTGTTGCATGGGAACAATACTTGGTCCTGTGGGCCATGTTGCTTTGACCTCTATTTTGAACAAAGCTTTCCTGCTTGTGGACCTGAACTCATTCCCCATCCATGACGTGACTTTCTGCAGGCTGTGGATGTTCCCAGCTGGTGATGGAGGGCTGGCTGTATTGTTAGCTGAATCTAACTGTGTTTCAGTGGGCAAATAGAAATTAATGGGAGGAGCAAATTAATTCATTCTTCAGAATTGCCAGTTCTATCACATTGACTAGAGATATTTAGCTGTGACTTAAGGATCACCATGATGAATCACCCCAAAGTATTGTAGGAGTCCCTTGCTGGATTATGTGCAGGACATAAACTGTCCTTTGTGCCCACCCCATGATATAATGGTTTGATTGCAGGAAGGGTAAGATTGCAGAACAGGACCAGTGTCAGGGTAGGGGGTCTGTCCTCAAGCCTCTCTCAGTTGTGCCACCCCAACAGACAGAAAGGTGCTGGAGGTGCTGCAAAGTCGTGGCAGCAAGGGGAAGAAAGCAGCTTGTGCAGCCCTGCTGAGGAGCAGAGAATGAGTGACCAACAACCCTGGTGGTTTTGACCAGTGGAGCTTTTTGTTTGCCTTGATGTTACCTGCCTTTAGGGCCATGAGACATCTGTGTGGCAGGCCAAAATCAGGAACAGTGAATCTGCACTCTGTTGTGTCACTGAATTTAATTGCACTTTTATTCTTCTCTTTTGATACATGATGTACATCCCTACTTTCTGCCTTTACCCTCTTCTTGAGTCTAATTTTTATGGTGCTTTTTTTTTTTTTTTTTGTGGATAAATTATGTCTAGCTGGAGATGAGATTTCAGTATCCTGTTTACTGCAAACAGTTGGGGCCATTAATAAATGTTGACAGACAAAGACAGACCAGGGATTAATAAGTAGAGGACAGGAGATTAATAGCAAGAGCATAGAATCTGGTTCAAGGCCTGATCTTTCCAGTTCTTGGGCTATGGAAGATTAATGGTAGCTCTTCTGCTAGTCTCACTCTTTCTGTGGTAACTTTCCTGACTAAGTTTAATAAACCATCCCAGTGGGTTGCTGTAAATATGAAATCTAGGAAGAAGCCCATCATTATATTAACTAAATATGTCATTATATTAACGGATACAGTATTAGTTTTACTTTCTAGTCAGCACTTGAGCAGCAACATCAGTGCATTTGTGAGTGAAGTCAGATTTTCAAGTGCTTACAACTCTTCTCAAGACAAAAACATATGATAAAATGTATATTGTGAAGCAAGGTGTGTCTGACAAATTGTTTTTTTACTCTGTGTCCTGTGCAAGAGATTGATTTCTCTTCTCTTGACTGGGTTTTCAGCTTCATTTCTGTGAAAAATTGGGCTCTTGACCTGTTGCATCTGGTCTCTCGTTAGGTTTAGTGTGAGATTAGATCATCGCAAGAAAACACTAGCTTTGCAAAGAATATTCCAGGTTAAATTTGTAGGAGAACTGTAGAACATGGGACTGCATCACAGAAAGTTTTATTGTGATAGAAGGGTACGTGCTCTTCTGGGTATCCTGTATAGAAAGTCAGCTTCAAACTCTTTCTTTTTAGGCTGGAACTGTTGATTAAGCACTCCTGTAGTCTTTTGACCTCTGCCCTCAGGTATTTTCCACAGTCCCTGCAAAGATGACCCCCAGCCCTCGGTGCATAAGATTATAGTGATATATAGGTATGTTTATGGCCGTGTTGGGAAGGAAGCAGCTGTGTCCCCGTAACAATGAGCATCATGCAGCTGGGACTAACATCAGAACGTCATGCAGCAATAGCTGAATTTCTTTTCCAGGGAAGAAAGCTTATGCACTGCTTTGGTGGCCCTGTAACAAAGCTTTTCCCCTCTTGTCTGCTCTTGCATACAGTGCCCTTGGCTTTTCAGAAGTTAATTGATTTGTCTGTATTATGAGTCTCTCTTTAATTTTATTTGTGTAAAGAAGAACACACGCTAATCTTTCTCCAGAGAAATGTTTTGCGTTGCTCCTCTTTGAACGTTGGCCCTGGGTCTGCTGTTTCTTAATGAGTCTTTAACTAAACAGCTACGGTTCCCACATGCTCCAGCCCTGACACACACATACTTGTACACCCACGTGCCTGCTCCCAGTTGAACCGAGCCTGCCCGCTGCTTTGGGATTTGTGTTGGCAAGGCAGTGCCTCCCTGGGAAGCCCAGCGAGTGAGAGGGGGCTTTATACCTACACAGGCACATAGGCTTGGCCTCACATGAGCTGTCCTGTGCGCTGGAAGGGCTGTAACCTCTTTAGCACGCTGTCCTCCCACCCCCTGCCTTGTTTAGAGTGTGGATGCCTGTGGGCTGTGCTGCCTGGGCGAGGACCCGAGTGAGTGCCGAGCCCAGCACACGATGCTGAGTTACCGTCTGGAATGCTGCTGGCTGCCGGATCCTTGATAGCTTGTTTTTAATGAAGATTCCTCCTGTAATTCCTAGAATATCTTGAAGTGCAAAAAAAAAAAATGAGCGGTGTGTGTATTTTGCTGTGGGCTGAATTTTTTCCTGCTCTTCACAGTTCCCTCCGTGAACAGAGAGGAGGAGGAGGAGGGAGAAGCAGCTGACTGCTTTTTTTGTTGTTGTTGTTTTTGTTTTCTACTTGACTTCTGTGAAATATGTGGTGATCAATCGCTCGCGACTAACAAAATGTTTTTGTTTCTCTTTGCAAAAGCATATGGGAACTGCAGGAAAAGCATATGGGCGTTTTTAGGAAAACATATTGGTGAATGGACAAATTATAGTGGTGCCAATATGTTTTGGATGTCTGGCTAGACCACTACTACTACCACACTTGCTGGCATGCAGACACATCTACAAGATTTCCAGCATGTGAGGGGTGTGTGGCTGCTCCTGGGGAAAGGCAGGCTGTGCTGGATAAGCCTCTGCTGGAGCAGTGCTGTGATCCATCTTCGAGGTGTGTGACAGCCTCATCATGTCCTGGGGTAGGCTCCGGGCTCATGTTTATGGCAGTGTATCCATTCTGTCAGGAGACTGAGCCCAGAGCTCCACTTGCAGCTGGCTGCAGGCAATGATAATGGTAACCATTTTTCTTTCCAAAGCACTGGACTGCAGTCCTCGTAACACCTGAGCTTCTTGCAAACAGCTGGGCAGCCTCTGGTTTTCCTCTGCTGCTCTAGCAAGGTCTTTGTGTTAGCTTGGGCTGTTATTTTTAATTTCTCCATTGAGTGGTTTGCTTTTCAGGAAATGCAGAACATTGGCAGTATTGTTTCTGGTCCCAGTCCTGTTTGCTCTGATACTGGTGATCCAGGGAAAGGGATGCATAAGCAGGGAGCTGTAAGGGGATTGAGTTGTCTTGGCTGGTGGGCTCTGGTGGCTCACAGCATCCCTGCTGTGGTCTCCTGTCCATGATGTCCTTGGTAGCTCTGATGGGGCAGCCCTTCCTGCCCACCCCAGCAGTGAGGAAGTGCTGCCTCTATCTGGGATGGGCATGGCCATGCTGGGCTGCAGAAGGGGGCAAAAAACAAGGCTGAAGACTGAGGGGATAAGCAAGATGCACATTTGGGCAGTCGTTTGGATGTTGTGTTGTTCACCTCGGTTATGAACTGGCACTCAGATATTCTGAGTCGTAATTCAGGTAGAGGTAAACCTTTTAGTGCTCCCCTCTTACGCCAGCTTCAGGATGATTTGCTGGTGAATAATTTTATATTATTTAATGTAGCCACTTTCCTTATAGCTCTTTTGTTCTGTGAAACAATTCCCTATTTTATTATGCAAACAGTACATTAAGATCCTTGTGGGCCCAAGTTCCCAGTAGTGCTTGAGATGACGGCAGAGAAGTAGGTTATTTCAGAAATCATGATTCTCTCCTCTAGAAGCTTTCTTGGAGTTCTGCTTTAACGGCTTTTGATATTATACGTGCTTAAAAAAAAAAAGCTAAAAAAATTCAGTACTTCCTAAATGTTATAGAGCTCAAAAAAATACACTGTATGCCTTGTCACAATATTTAATACAGAGTGCTATTTACAGTAATGAATCAAAATGTCAGTTTTTAAAATATGAACTGTCAAAGTGTTCCTACTTTGCAGAAAACTTTGATATGACAGTTTGTTAATCATATGACTATTACATCAAATGTGTCTAAGAGTACTTTTGCTCGACAAAGTCTTTTTTTATTCCTTTCCCCTCCCTTTTCCCTGTTAATTCTGGCAGGGTTGTTTGACTGAATGCACTCTGATTAGAGGTCAGAAGAATCCAGAGCTGAATGCTTTTGTTTGTGGACAGAAGGGATGTGTTAGTGCCTGTGCTCTTGCTGGTCATGGTCACCTAATCTTAGGTACAGCCCGGTTTGGATCATGTCTCCCCTGTGAGCATGGTGGAGTGGTGCTGGTGCCTCTGGGATAACTGCATTTGGGGCAGCTGGGCTAAAACAGTCTTTTGAGTAAAGTACAGCACAGCTGGCTTGTGCTGTAGCGTTTCTAATCCCTGCAGCTTTAGCACGAGGGCACAAGTAAAATAAAGATCTCAAGGCTGCTGTGCATCCTTGATGAGCTGAAGGTGGTGCAGGGCAGGGCTGGTGTCGCTTGTTGAGCAGGAGGAAGGAGGCTGGGGATGCCAAGGTCCTCTCCCCTGTGCCTTTGATTACTCTGGATCCAGGTCAAGGAGTGGGTTTGGGCTCTGATTTCCCTTCCATTAATTTAGACCAGAATGCTTTGCTTTTTTGATTCTTTTGTTTGCTTATCTGCAAAATGGGAGTAATTAATTGATATTAGTTAACTCACAAGT